GTTCTGCATAGCCCGTTATGATTGCAGCAGTCATCTAAACGGCGGATGGTTGGTTGCATCGCATATCCCGTTTACCGGCAAACAAAACTTAAAGATCTCGAGACGAGTTGAGGACGCGGGGGGCTCCTTAAATAGTGATCATCGTTAATGTTTCATCGTAACTTTTCGAAAAGTTATCTAAACATATCAAGGTATATTATAGTTTACCAAAAATAATATAAATATATTATATACTCTGGGACTGCTAATTAAAAACAAAACCAATAACGTTTTACGCTAAAATTAATACGACGTTAACTAATTTGGCGTCTCTAAAAATCTAAACACCGTGAATAACTCGACATTAAATGAAGTTAAAAGCAACTTTAGCAAGGATAAATTTTACTATACTACTACATACAAAATTGGGTAATTAGGGTAAGCGTTGGCAAATAATTACATTAAGTTATAATGTTATTTGTTAACGTTTACAGCTTCTGAAATATAAATACTTGGAAGGATACATTTAATATTATGTTTTAAATGATTTTAAAGCAGTCGAATCAAACATGATAATGTTCGGAACACCATGACAGATAGGTACCTAATAGTTTGCATGCGACGCGTGGTTATTGTACTGTAGGTTATGTTAAAAGCCAGGGCCGTTGGAAATAATTTTTACACTAATAGGTACTTTGTTTTATACATCCCGATTTAGGTTTTTTTTCGGTGTTGCTCTGTAAATAAATCGCATAGATTCAGCTGTTGAGATAATCGAACGAAACTTTGAAATTAAAGAATTTAGCTTTCGCGAGAGAGCTAGCTAGCTAGCTAGGGGTGCTAAATCTGAAAAAACTTTGAATATTCATGCCATTTAAATAACCAGTGCAACGTGATGTTCGTTCATAACAGTTAACTCAATTAACAATCCGACAATCAAACAAAGTAATGCAAAGCCCAAAAACCAATATGTTCACATAACATACACACGACAAGTGCCCATTATGTTAAGTGTACTGGATGCATTGTTAACGCAAACCACTAATTGATATGTGCAATTTAACTTCACATCAGATGAATCTGCAAGCAAGAATTCATTTAAACCCAAGAACTATATATTGATTCTAGTTATAAAATTTAATTGGACTAGGTAACAAATATTTTGGGTCGAAACTTGTTATAACCTAATATGTACTAAGTAATTAGGCCAAATACTCGCTAGAAGTCTAATTGTATAAGTTTACGCAGCGGTGCACTGATGGCTTATTTAAAAGGTATTTATGTCGATTTATCGTTTGTATGAATTCCCCAAGGAAAGTAAATATCAATCACGTTCACTTCAATAAAACTCAATAATGACGCACATTTTATGTATACCTATCACAAATATATAGATCAGGATTTATTTGTAAAGATGATTACAACAATAAAGATCAATAGGTGGAAATTTATTGTTTTATCAACATTAGTTTTTATCTTTAATTTTTAGCAAATAATTCGCTATCAACTACTTTTAGATTAAGTAGCTAATGCCAAATTTCTGAACAAAGTAAATAATTTCGAAGAAGACTTATTTTAATATAGAAGCTAAATAGCAATGACCTTTGGTAATTGAACCTATTCGCGTCCTATTGTAGTTTTTTAGTTCCGTAATTTTATTGATAGTTTGATAACATATTATTATTTGTAAAGATACTAATTAGTATTTTTTAACTAGAAATCATTTTCATACCGATCAATCGCAACGTTTTTTAAATAAATTCGTTATCAATACTTTTAGATTATCTAACGCCAGATTTCTGAACAAAGTAAATAATTTCGAAAAAAAAAGTAAATTTATGTAGAATCTAAATAACAACTATCCGTAGGTAAGTGAACCTATTCGCATCCTATTGCAGTTTTTTAGTTCCTTAAATCTTTTGATAGTTTGATAACATATTATTATTGGTAAAGATAATAATTAGTATTTTTTAACTAGAAATCATATTCATACCGATCAATCGCAACGTTTTTTAAATAATTCGTTATCAATACTTTTATAATAGTTAATGCCTGATTTCCGATCAAAATAAATAATTTCGAAAAAAAAAGTAAATTTATGTAGAATCTAAATAACAACTATCCGTAGGTAAGTGAACCTATTCGCGTCCTATTGTAGTTTTTTAGTTCCGTAATTTTATTGATAGTTTGATAACATATTATTATTTGTAAAGATACTAATTAGTATTTTTTAACTAGAAATCATATTCATACCGATCAATCGCAACGTTTTTTAAATAATTCGTTATCAATACTTTTATAATAGTTAATGCCTGATTTCCGATCAAAATAAATAATTTCGAAGAAGAATTATTTTAATATAGAAGCTAAATAGCAATGACCTTTGGTAATTGAACCTATTCGCGTCCTATTGTAGTTTTTTAGTTCCGTAATTTTATTGATAGTTTGATAACATATTATTATTTGTAAACATACTAATTAGTATTTTTTAACTAGAAATCATATTCATGCCGGTCAATTGCAACGTTTTTTAAATAAATTCGTTATCAATACTATTAGACTAGATAATGCCAGATTTCTGAACAAAGTAAATAATTTAGAAGAAGAATTATTTGAATATAGAAGCTAAATAGCAATGTCCTTTGGTAATTGAACCTATTCGCGTCCTATTGTAGTTTTTTAGTTCCGTAATTTTATTGATAGTTTGATAACATATTATTATTTGTAAAGATACTAATTAGTATTTATTTAACTAGAAATCATTTTCATACCGATCGATCGCAACGTTTTTTAAATAATTCGTTATCAATACTTTTATAACAGTTAATGCCTGATTTCCGATCAAAATAAATAATTTCGTAAAAAATATACATAACTTCTTATAGTTCCTTGTTGTATAGTTTCTTGAATTTTTTGGTAGTTTGATAACATAATTGTAAACTTAGTTATTAGTACTTTTTAACTAGAACAATATTC